ACTGCCCCGACTTTATCGTTTTGTTCGCCAAGTACGCGCTTGGGTTTGGCGCGCCGTGGAACGTCCAGGACGCGGTCCAGACGGTACTACCCACGACCGACGACCACGGCATCCAGATCGACGCGGTGCTCAACATGGGCACGGTCCTTGCGAGCGATCTGAGACTGCCCCGACGTTGACTCGCCGTGGGAGTGTCTCACGGTGCTCTTTGACGACGATGGCACGGTCCGCGTGAGTCCGTGGGAGCTCGAGCCGGCGAGTGCCGAGGCGCGGCTGGCGCAGCTCGCGCTGGCGCCGCCGTACCGAGTATCGAAGGCGAGCGCCGCGCGGGTCTTCTGCGCGCCTTGGCGTCGATCATGCAGCTCTCGGTCGCGCTGGACTTTGTGCCGGCCGTGCCCGAGTCGACGCCCGACTACTACGTCACGGTGGCGAACCCGATGGACCTCTCGCTGATCCGGAGCCGTGTCGAGCACGGCTACTACCGGCAAGTGGACGCGCTCTTGGCGGACGTGCAGCTGATTCTGGACAATTGCGAAAAGTACAACGTCGAGACGAGTCCGATCGCACAGAACGCGCGGTCGCTCGTCGCCGCGATGGTGTCGGTTCTGCAGCCGCTGTTCCCACTGGAGGTCGCGGCGTGGCAAGCCGCCCACGTGGCATTCTCGCGGGCCCACGAGCAGGCGGAGACGCTCGAGACCAAGCGCCCGCCCAAGCGCTCCAGTAGCGTCGACGGCGCGAGTCCGAATCCAAAACGGCGCTGTACGGACGACGCCGTGATCGTGCAAAAGCTGCGGCTCTCGGTGGCCCAGCGCCAGCAGTGGCTCCAGCGCCTCGCGAAAGGCTCGTTGGCGTCGCATTTAAGCGTGCTCCACCGGGCGATCCAGGCCGAAGACGCGGCCAACATCTTTGCGTCGCCCGTCACGGACGACATTGCGCCGGGGTACTCGGTCATCATTCCGCACCCGATGGACTTTGGCACGATGCAAGCAAAGCTGTCGCTGTACGGCTCGTTTGCGGCCTACTACGTACGGCGTCATCCCAAGTGGTTGTTCCTCATGGATCGTTTTTTGGGCGTAGGAAGACTTTATGCTCGTGTGCGCGAATGCCACCGTGTACAACGAAGCAGGGTCGTACGTGCACAGCGAAGCAGTGCGCATGAAGGGGGCATTGAGCCGCGTGATTGGCACGATCCTCAAGGGCAAAGCCAAGGCAGGTGGCGCGGGACAGAAGAAGCGCCGACCGCGCCGCGACTCGTTTGACATGAACGAGATGGAGAGTGACGAAGAGAGCTTTGCGTCGAGCGAAAACGACGACGACGACGACGACGACGAGCCGCCAAGCGACAGCAGCAGCAGCAGCAGTCAAGCGAGCAGCGACGAGGCGCCGGCGCGGCGGCGGCGCAAACCGGCGAAATCGGTTTACAAGGACCGGTCCAGCTCGGGCTCGTCCGACGACGACGACGACGATGATGATGTGTGAGCGATGAGGTATAATAGATGGTCTTTCAACTGCGAACGAGAGATATTTGGATGAGCGACCATCCCAGAAGTGGAAGCGTCGAGAGATAGAGACTCGGTGCGAATCCACGTGTAGTTTCGAGGACTGCTACGCAGTGTCGAAGGTGAACTATACCGCAAGTCGACAAGTGTATGTAGCTTGCTTGGAGGAGAGCGCTAAAGAGAGAGGGACGTCGAGCTCAATCAATGTTGTGGCGGATGGCGCTTCCCCGCATGCCGTTGAAGAGGGTGTCCTTCTGTCGCACGTCGTCGTGTTGGAACTTCAACCATGTCAAACGGTGTTTAAACGTGCCTCCCGCCATCGGCCAAACTGCGTCGTGATCGGTCGACGGTACAGCGCAAGCCGTTGGTCGTGCCGTCCAGCGCTTCGTGCACGGAAGGCGAACATCCTCCTACATGTTCAACTTAGCCCGAAGCGATGCAACGAAGCCGGTCGACGACGCTGTGGACCGAGCACGTTGGGTTGAACCGACGGCATGGAATCCATTCAAACGCGTTAAATAAATAAAACCGACTTTGCACTTTCTACAAGCACAATCTGAAAAGCAATGCTCGGGGCACTTGTGGACGCCATTGCGTTTGGCGCGTCGTTCTTGGACGTGCTGCCGACGACCGGCCATCTTCTCGCGGAGACGATCTCGGCGCGCTACGAGGAGTTCACGCCGCCGTCGGCGCCACCGGCGTGGCCTGCTACGTTCCAAGCCAACTTTACCGAAGCGCGTTCGGCCCATGCCTCGTCTCGTCCTTACGGTTGTGCTAGGTCTTTAGCGGCTTTCCGGCGGCACCGTCCACTGGTGCATGGTACTATCGCTACGAAGCGAACGGCCCGCATCAGTGGCGGGCCGACCACAATGCGGTACAAGAAGCAACCTCGTCCAGAGCGTATTATACCTATTGTATGGCGTAGCCGCAAGCCAACAACTTTTGCAAGTGCGCGAAACCCGGTGTGACGGACACGTGCCAGCTCTTCTTTGAGCCGTCGGCGCTCTTTGTGCACTTTCCGAGTTTGGGCGCGTGCTGCAGCTTGTGCTCGGCGGCCGATGGCTGCTCGCCGCTCAAGCCCGACTGGCTCTCGGGCAACCAGCCGCAGCGAACGCCGGGCTCCGAAATGATCGATGGTAGACGCTGCTTTCAGTACTGCACGCCGGGGTACGAGCGGCCGCGTCCAGTGAAGTGCTCATCGTGTCTGTCTCTAGCGCGGTCTTCAACGACTGCATGAGCTACGATGAGAACGGCAAGCCATGCCAGTACTCGGAAACAAGCACGTTCTCGCCCAGCTTTACGGTGGTCCACAACCTCACGTTCACGTCGTGGTCCAAGCACATCTCGGATGCCTCGGTCTTTGACCTGCCGGCGCAGTGCAAGGAGCCATGCCCGCGCCAATTCAACCAGTGCCATGGCTAAGTCGCTCCGCAGCAGCTCTCAGCAATCGAAGAGCTCCTGCACAAACTCAAACTCAATGGGAACTTGCGTCAATTGGACGAGTTTGCACTTTTGGAGGAGATGACGAGCAGGATGATATATATCGTCCCGAGGCAATGTCGCCGTCGCCGCGGCGACGCTTGCCACGCAGTGTATATCTCGGAGGTCACACGCATGCACCGATAGTCGTAGGTAGTACCGGATCTACCATAGATTGTGCCGTCGTCGAGCGCGAGGAAGCGCGACTCGCACCACCCTGCAGTCTTCAACAATCGTGTCGTATACAAACACCAAGTGTAGCATATCCACTTGCGATCACGGAGCATTTTTTTTTCGCTGGTCGATGTTTCGGCTCATTCTCGACGCGCTCGGGCTCTACGCCGCGTGGCACCCGTCCAACGGCGACAGCAGCGACATTGGCACGCTCACGTACGACGCCCCGGCGCCGCCACCGCCCTTCCCGAGCGAAGTGCACGCCACCTTTCTTGAGGTCTCGTTAGGCATTTCGGCATGTCTTGGTGATGCGCAGCACTAGACGTTTGACGGCAGCGACGTGCCCGACTCGAGAGGCGCGTGGTTCTACCAGTACCACGCGGCGAGCGGCGACACGAACTGGCGCGTCGAGCACGACGCAGTGCGCGGATTTAGCGCGACGAAATCAGATCGACTAAGATCGCGTATGTGTGTAGCCGCAGGCCGACCCGTTCTGCCGCTGTGCGCAGCCCAACACAACGGACGCGTGTACGCTCTACTACACGCAAGAGAGCTTATTCGTGCACTTTCCGGGTCCAGTCGGCGCGTGCTGTCGCCTCTGTGACGCGACGACACCGGGCTGCGGCATGCTTTCGCCGACGTGGCTCTCGGCATCGGCGACACTGACCGGCGTCGACGAGCTCGACGGCCGTCTCTGCTACCAGTTTTGCGCTCCTCCGTACGTCCACGATCCGTTTCAGTGTCTTTCAACGCAGCCACGACAGGACGGGCACCGTGACCGAGTGCATGAGCTACGACGACTACGGTCTTCCGTGCCGCTTCACCGAGACGACGACGGCCAATGTGCACAACTTGACGTTCACGTCGTGGACCGTCACGAAGCAGCCGCCATCGACGTTTGCGCTGCCGTCGCTCTCGTGCGCGACGAGCTGCGCGTCCCTCTTCCCCACATGCGATGTCTAACTAATATGCTCGCATACTACGAGTACACCAATGCATCTTCTCTATCTTAACGCTATATGGCTACACGGTGGCAGAGGTGGCTGCTACCGTGGTGGTGGCACTGGATGCCGTCTTGGCGTGGCGCTTGGACAAGGCCATGGCGACGACGGTACCGACGACGATGGCGAGCCCGAGGCCGACACCAAAGC